CTCCCGTTTTCTAAAATTTCTCTTCAAATCGAGGCTCGAGGTTTGAATACACGTTGCTCGACCGTAAGCAACGTGATCCGAAGTTGGCTTGTCTCACTCAGTACTGAGAGCGAGTGCCACACAATCGCCAAATCTGCTGCCAAGAAAAGGCGATTGTGACACCAAGCAACCCAACTCAATCTGGAATAGACCTCAAAATTTTTATCAACCTACGAATCGACCCAAATTTTCAATTTTTAAAAAATTCAACTCAACCCAATCTTGATTGGGTACTCCTATTTGGTCAGGTTCTCGGATCATACAAACACCCCTAAAGACTTCTCTATTTTGGAACCTAATTCCGATATCCACTCGTTTACTTTTATTTTGTTGGCAATTTCGAAAATTTTCCAAATCAATCGAAAGAAAATTAAAAAACGTAAAAAGCATTTTCCAAAAATAATCAAACATTACATAATAATAATTAAAAAATAAAAACCCCTTTGACGAACATGGTTAGAATTGGAAAGGCTAGTTATGTAGGTAAGGAAATTAGGGGCGTACATTCAAACCAACAATCCGAACTAACCCAACCCAAACTACAAGAGTTGGGTTGGATTAGCTTTTCAGATTGATTTTGGTTCATTTTTTTAAACCCAAACTGACTCGATTCGATTTTGAGTTTATGAGATAAAACTGTCGAGTTGACTCAAACTAAATAAAAATATATAAAATATACTAAGAGGTTTATATTAATGATGAGTTTGTTAGAGTGGTACTTTATCTTAACTTAAAACTCTTACACTTGAGTTTGACAGCTCATCAAATACTTTAGTTTCTTATATAAATATTTTTAAAATACCTTAATATTTTATACTAATTTGCTAACGAGACGACTAGACACAAATACGTAACGAACACAACCAAATACTCGGAAGTAGCTAATGGGTTTCATGTCCCATAGTGTCTTAAAGAGTGAGACGATAGCTCTGAAAAAACAGATTGTCCATCTTTTCTTCTTTGACCGTTAAGAGTAGGTAACCCGTTCTGTTCCCTGTGCTTTTGTTTGAGATTAGCACAATAATTATTGATACACGCCCCATTTGATAAATAGATCAAAATTTTCTATCGCGCGAGCCCCTCCTCGCAGATTCCTCCTTGTGCTCCTCAGCAACAGGGGCACCTTGTGTCCTTGAACTGATAACCATCTTTCGACTAACCTAGCTTCCTTCGTCCATTAGGACCAATAAGAGGATCAAGAATGTCATATATTTCAGGAGCTAGATCAGTTGCCGATAAACAAGTCAGAATTGCCTCAACAAAAATTGATGGAATTGGACCTAAAGAAGTCATTCAGGTTGCTCCCCGGCCGTGATCGAATCTTAAAAAGTGAGATGAAACTAACTTTGGTTGAGGAAGCTTGTTGATCACACATGGGCAACCGTTTGCATAACTTCAGCCAAAATCAACCTAAAATATTCTTTGCGTGATGCTTCAACAAATCTCTACAAGATGTCTTTTTTTCACTCTGCTACATTATTTTACGGTGGCATATAAATAACTCTCCAAGAGTAGGGTTAAATCGAGCCTTTTAATCAATAATTATGCATATATACTCACTATTTTCTCATTATTGGTTCAATTCATTCTAATTAATAAGCATCTTTATATGTTTATTTATTTAGCCACTTTAATTGTATAGTCGTTTCTTTTCTTTAGAAGAAACGAGAGCAAAAGAATCTTTTTCAATACTCGAGTTTCATTATAAGGATACTCGAAGGTAATCGAAGGTTATGAAGAATTCTTCTTCTAGAGAATTATTAACAGAAACTAATAACGATTATGAAAGTAATCGCTATGCATGATCCTCCGAAGAGAACTTGAGAATTTATTAAGAGCGGAAACTCACCCAGAAGTCGAGAAGTAGAACAACTTCTCTATTTGGACTCTCCTAGCCAAACCTCATTATTATTAATTTCTTGTTTACCTTCTCGTTCCGAAAACATTTTTCCCTTTGCATGACACTTATATTCATTCAATTTCTCAACGATAAAAGTAATAGAAAAGAGTAGGTTGGTTCTCTGTATAATCAATTATTTACTTATTACTTGCAATTTGTGAGAGCCTGTCCTTGCACTTCTAGTTAGTGAAATTTTACTCCATATTGCTATATATCTTCAGTAGATTTCGAATTTTGGGTTGAGTTGGGTTGGATTAGCATTTCGGATAGAGTTGGGTTCATTTTTCTGAACCTGAACTGAATCGGTTCAGTTTTTTGTTCATGGACAAAACCTTTAAGTTGACCCGAGCCAAATAACATATATAAAATGTATTAAAAATTCTTCTATTTTAATGAGTTTGTCAGAGTGGTACTGACGTCAGTCCAAGAACATTCACGCCAAGTTCGACCTCGCCACCCAAAATTTCTTTGTTTTGTTTATATTATTTATATATATAATTTTAAAACATATTCTAAATTATAATATATTTATTATCTATCTGTTCCAACATTATTATATCACAATTTATATATATTTTTATTTTTTTCTAATAGCACAATTTATTTATATTTTTATTTTTTTCTAATAGTTTAGGATCTAAAGTTACGTATAAATGAACATATTTCAATTAAAATATTTTTATATATTTTTTATTTTTGTTATATACAATACTTTAAACGTATCATTTTTGTTGTTTATTTAATTTCATGATCTATACTTTGTATTTTTGTTACTTTAACTAATTCTTAAAATATGTTGGTATTTAGTTGTCTTTAATTTTATCATAATGTTGAACTATGTTAATATATTACAATTTTCACCCGTTCTTTTTTATTGAATTTGTTTTTTTGTTGTCAATAATTATATATTGATTTGTGTTTGTTTGTGAATTTTTAATATATTTTATCTAAGATTGTATAATTATAAATTGTGGATAAATAAAACCTTAAAAAAAAAAATTGACAACCGAGCCTGGACCCAACACGAAAATGGAGGGTTGGGTTGGGTTACCAATCCAACCAACCCGAACTTTTGGGTTGAGTAAAAAAAATCCTCCAATGAGTTGAGCAAAAAAGAAACCACAACCCGCTCAAATTTTCTTCTTTATTTTGGATCCTGAAATAGAAAGAACTCTTAAGGAGAGGTTGGGGAAGCAAAGATCGAGAATAACATAACATAACATGATCATCCTATTTGCTCCAAGAGACAAGCATGGTTTTGTAGTCAAAGCAAGTTCGTCACTTTCGTGTCTCACAATAAAACTAGGGTTTGTGTAGAAATCGGTCTTATCAAAGAAAACCTCCCAAACTGTGTTTTGATTGGATCGACTATGTATGTATGGATCACTAGCAAGAAATCGTTGATTTTTGAATACCTAAGTTCTGCACGTCATTTTTATTTACTTATTTTTCCCTTGATATCTCCAGGTGTTGTCACCAAAGACCTTCCTCCAAAAAACCAAACTCTGCCTTACGTAAAATTGTTAGTAGACCGATCAGTAGAGGGTTCAACAAAGAAACAGAAAACTTAAGCCAAGCCCTTATTTAGTTCAACCAAATCAAAAGTTTGAGAATCTAGTAGTGATCGATTAATCCAGCGTAGCTACTTATGAGCTATAGCGTGTGATGTTTCAAATGCTACAAATCTCAATACAGTTTTATAGATTGCCGTTAGAAGATCTCTGCTACAGATTTTATTCCTTTATTGTTTAAGAGATACTGATAAATCATGGTTGAAAAGGTTAGCACAAGAGCAATTGATTTTTGGAATAGTCTAGCACAGAAATTAATTTACGTGGAAAATCAAACTAGTCAAAACAATTATGACTAAGAATGTATGGTTCAAAAACGAAATATTTCTTTTCAACAATTTGAAGATCTTAGAAAGAACATCCTAGAAAGAAGAGAATCTAACAACAGTTAATGAGCTGATGTGTGGAGCAATTCCGAAAAAAAAAAAAAAAAAACCAAAGAAGTACTAGAAGTTGATGTTTTAACCTCTATCAATGTTCAATTAGCCTCTTCGACTAATATTCTACTGACTTTAGCGTTGGGATAAGGCTTAATGACTAAAGTGCCAGTCCATCAGTAGATGTAATGACTCAACTAATAACTGGATTTATGTATAATGTGGATAGAAGCACACTTTTGACCGGTGTACAAGTAATTCAGCTTCAATTTTTTTATGTGGAAAATCAAACTAGTCAAAGCAATCAGAAGAATGATCCCTTTTCAAATGCTTACAGCTTCTAGAAGTTTTTTTTGTTGTTACAAATCAAATGACGTATAGTTCTCAACGAGCCAATATCCAAGGGAAAAGAATTTATCAAACTCAACAAATTCTAGGGATGTAATAGTCCAAGCCCATCGCTAGTCGATATTGTCCTCTTTAGATTTTTCCCTTTCGAACTTTCCATCAAAGTTTTTAAAATGCGTCTGCTATGGAGAGGTTTTCACACCTTTTCTCACACCCATCGAGATGCATAATGGTTAAATTACCGTGCAACATACTATTCAACTTTTAATTTTATGTCTTTTAATAAATGCTTAATTCCTGAAACTTAAATTTTTTTGTCAAATAATTTTTTTTTTAAAGGCATTTGATATTTATTAAAACACAAGGAGTTGCTAAGCACAAAATTCAAATTTATATTTATATTTATATTTAATAGAACATTTCATTTTAATTTTGAAACTCACATTTTCTAAATTCGAAAATCTATAAAAACACAAAATTGAAAGTGGAGGACAGAAATGTAGAGACTAAATATACACAACCTTCAAATTCATACACTAAACTTCTAATTTAATCTTGAATAAATAAAATTTTAATGTCATATATACAAAACCATTAAAAAAAATTACCTCGTAAAGGCATATGAAGTGGGAGTTGCAAACCGGACAGTACACATCTTGGTTTTGGAAGATACGACACTCAAAGTTGTAGAGCTGGTCGGCTTTCATATCGAGCCATTAAAGCAACACATAGAGCTATAATCGGACAATTCAGTCTAGGGACTACAGAAATCTTCCAATACATCAAGGAAGGAATTTATTAAGGACCAAATTGTGTAATTAGCCAAGGTAAATCAATCACTTCATCATTGTCGATTGCCAAAAGGCACACAAGCAGACATATTATAGTAAATAGATACACACACATATATGAGTATTCAGTGTAATGCCAATATACACAGAAAGCACTTTATTTAGGCAACAAACCGATAATTCCTGGGAGAGAATTTGATGGTCTTCTAGTGAAGCCTTGCTACTCCTCCTCCTCCTCCAGTATGCAGCTTATTAGAACCGCTTTGGACAACATGTAAAACTCCTGGTTGTTCTACCAACGTCCAAAACAAAAAAGTTCCATAAGAATCACTATCTTATAGTAATCCTAAGAATTTAGTCACATTCTAAAATGAATATCAACACACACACATTATTGACGCTCTTGAGAAATATTGATGTGATTCAGTTGTATTAGGTGCAAAGACTTGTATACTAGATTTCAGTCTATAATATCAAACTCTAAATGTGAGATCCCACATCGATTTGAGAGAGGAATGAGTGCCAGCGAGAACGCTAAGTCCTGAAAAGGGGTGGATTGTGAGATCCCACATCGGTTGGAGAGGGGAACGAAACATTCTTCATAAGAAAATGGAAACTTCTCCCTAGCAGATGCGTTTTAAAAACCTTGAGGAGAAGTCCAAAAGTAAAAGCCCAAAGAGAATAATATCTGCTAGTGATGGGCTTGAGCTATTACAATTGGTATCAGAGCCAAACACCAGGCAATATGCCAGCAAGGAGGCTGAGCCCTGAAGGGGGGCGGACATGAGGCAATGTGCCAACGAGAATGCTGGGCCCCGAAAAGGCTGGACTATGAGATCCCACATCGGTTAGGGAGAAGAACAAAGAATTCTTTATAAGGGTGTAGAAAACGCTCCCTAACAGATGCGTTTTAAAAACCTTGAGGGGAAGTCCGAAAAGAAAATCCCAGAGAAGACAATGTTTGCTAGCGGTGGTCTTGGGCCATTACACTACATTTCGGTTATGGTGTTTAGTTTAGCTTAAAAATGATTTGAAGGAGGTGAAATAATAGGAAATTTTGAAAATTTAAGGTAAAAACACATTGTCCTCAATTAAGAGATCAAAGGTTTAAATACCCTACCCCCATGCCCTACCTACTCTCATTGTTGATCTATAAAAACAAAACAAATGACAAAGCCAGCTGTTGAGAATTGAACATAATGAATAATTTTTAATATCTAACCTACCTTACAGGGGGTGTATCAATTAATCACATGGATAACTAAAGATCTTATAAAGTTCGGCATTAACAAATGATTCCTGCGTGGTAAGGGCTTGAGATGTTCAAGATGCCATTAAGGTCTATGGTTCAAGCCCCTAGGCAGAAGATAATTTAAAAACTTAAATTCTCGTCTGCTACAAGCCCAAAACCTTCAAACCTTCTTTCTAAATGGGGTGCCTGGAACACCTCATCTTTTCATTGCACCATTACTCATTCCCGTTAGGCCCAAGTGTTTGGCCTTTACTTCTCCACGCCCGCTCACGCTTTGGTGAACTATGGCATGGTAAAGAGAAGAGAGTACGAAAGAATAGTAAACAGAGCACACCACAAAAAGATTCAAAATATGAGAAGTCTCCCATGGATGAAAGAAGAAGAAAACGAAGAACGGGAACGAATTCTCTCTCAGATGGAAAAGGTATCTTCGGAATGGACTATCAAAATGATGATATATAACAGTTATCAAAAGCAAATCGAAAAAGAAAAGACAAAGGCATAATGAAAGACTTGACACAACAAACTTGAGATTGTCAGATGAAACAGTAATCAAGTAAGACTGCAAACATATGAACCCATAAAGAACAATCAAAATCCTGATCAAACTTCAAGAATCAAGCATGAGAGTGCAAGAACTTTAGTTTGACCAAGACCTAGCAACATAGCGGCTCAAGACGATTCAAAAAGCACAACTAAACCGAATCATAGCTAAAAAAGTACAGATCACAATAAGCTCAACATATCATCAGCTGTTCCACATAAATTAGAGCTAGAGCAGAAGAAACCAAATTTTTATATCCCTGACTCATATGCATCAATTTCTAACAGATTTCCACGAAATAGACGAGGTATTACAGAAACATATGAGCAATTAATCGATCAAAAACATTGAAGCAGATGATGTTAAGAGCAGGACTTACTGGTAATATCCGCAACTTGTTCAGGCGTAAGCCGAGCAGAGAAGCCACTGGCAGCATTCTTATAACTATACACAAGAGCCTCCCTAGCAGCTTCTTCACTGCAAATCAATAAATTAAACATAAATCCATCGTTTACCAGCCATAGAATACAAACAAGAGGTAGAAGTGTAGACGAACCTGCCGAGAACAGAAGCTAGGGTTCGGATGTGATAAGCCTCAGGTTCTTCATTGTGAGGCCTCTCGGTGTAAACGATATGCACCGCCGGGGAAGCGAAGTTGGATACGACGGGAATGGAAGCGGATTGGTCGGACATCACGGCAGAACTAAGAAACAAATTCAGATAAATTGAGAAGATAAAAACGAGAATCGGAGGAAATGAAGAAGAAACACTCGATTTCATCATTAGAAATTGAATCATATAAGAAAGAACAAGAAAGAATTAGAAATTTGTCAAGATTTGAAACCCGACTAGATTTCCGATTGGAAGGAAGAAGATGAATGCGTGTGGGAAAAGGAAATGCTTCCGCTTCTCTCGCGTCAACGGCTCACGTTCTTCTTGTGCGATGATCAGCCAGAATTTCTCGAATTTTTTTTGACGATGTCAACTCTAACCGATGAACAGATTTGTTCCTTCTGACTGCGACGCATAGAACATTTAATTTCTTTATAACAAACATTGAAGAACATATTTATTAACTCAATATTTTTAAATTAAATATTTTTACAAAAAAAAAAAAAAAAAAAAAAAAAAAAAC